ACAGTGCACTGTTTATCCCGGATTAGCTTACTGAGTCTCCACTTCTGCATGTTGTTATCTGCAGCGGCATCTTTTTGCTTCCAGCGGCTCAGGTGACCGTATCAATTTCGATCTTCGCGCTCCATTACGTCTCGCCCACATCTTCATCACTGATTTTCTGTTGTTCAACTCGCACGCTCGTTTCCTGGAATAATGAGCCATAGAACGTACCTCACTCTCAGCATAATGCAATTTTTTTGTGCGCATACCAGTTCAGAATGCTGTTACTCGGCGTAAGCGAAGACGGTGCTCGCTGAATTTCTAGTTTGATTGGGTCGCCAAAGTGCATATTAGCCTTAAGGGGAAGTAAACTCAAATGAATTTTACAGCTGCACTTGCAAACCATCCTTTGAATTTTAGGTCTGAAAGAGCTAATATTTCATGATGGCTTCCAACGTGAAAATGTCTCATCAGGCAAAAGCTGGATCGAGGAAACGCTGGTTGGCACAAACGGATTTCGTATGGAAATTGCTTACAGGATCACATGTGCCAATGATTTTTACGGTCCACGATGTCTCTTATTTTGCCAGCCGATGTCCAGCACTGTTGGCCATTACGAGTGTACGCCAAATGGAACGCTAGCATGCTCCGTCGGCTGGGAAGGTCCAAGCTGTGACATCGGTATGATTCACAGTTCCTCCACTACTGGTAGTAAGGATGAGGCATATGTTTCATAGAACCTTTTGCGTTCACTAGCCTAAATCATCGAAAATTTTAAATAAAGGAAACAAATAATTTTTGTTCAACGGTTTTTCTTTGAAAATGACCTAGCTGTTCAGTTGGCAATTTTTTCGCCAAAACTTTCGAGTGTCCGTACGTGAGAACCGCGCATACCTGGAGGTTGAGTATGAAATATTTAAGTTGTACTTGGACAGGGAACATTCCCCTAAAATTTCAGCTTTCTGGCTTGCCTGGTTCCCGATTTGCCGCCAAAACTTTATATGCCCGTGTATGAGTACCGCACGTATCGACGACACGAATTTAAAACTTTAAGTTGTACGTGAACGGAGAATATGCCCTTACAATTTCAGCCTTCCGACTTTTCTGGTTTTCGAGTTAGCAGTTTTCCCGATAAAACTTTCACGTGCCACGCACACCTAGGGACTGAATTTGAAATGTTTAGCTCACACATGCACGGAGGCTATCCCTGCAAATTCCCAGTACTCTATCCTTTCTGCTTCCCGAGATCGTTTTCCCGTCAAAAAATGTGCATATTTTTTAAGGCGTCCATTCGCAGCACCCAGGTGTACGGGGTAATGGTATCAAAACGGGAGAATCGTACATGAGGTAGGCATATACTCCCAAAATTTCAGTCTTCTAGCTTTTCTGGTTCTCGAGTTGGAAGTGGGTGGCAAAAAGTGCGAACACATAGACAAACACACAACACATAGCGTCTTGCCAATGCACGTTTTTGCATTTGCATATATGTAAAAGCGCATAAAAAACGGGGTTGTGGCTTGCGAATTTGGCAGGGAGGTGCAAAATATGGCTGGTGAGGGTTATAGAAGCTAATCAGAGCAGCGCACTGTTCTTTAAAAAGGCAATAAAATAAGCTGAGAAGAGCTAAATTTAAATAATAGCGAAGATTTCGAGTCAAAATTGCTGTTAAAAAAATATATTTTAAGTAAATGGGACACACGAATATGAATGAACGTCAATCCGGACAAGGGCTGACAAAGCTAGGATGCCTTCTCGTTTTTGGAAAGCCGAGTCTGGGGCTCTGTTTGTATGTGAGGCTTTTGCTATTGAAAGAACGAGTAAACCGTAAATTTAGAGAGGTTACCTTTCGATGCTAGGCTTCAGGTTTGCTGCTGTAAGAGTCGGCTTAATGTATAAAAGTATTATTGTTGGATTTTCACCGAACTGACCTTTCTCTGGAGTTTTTTTGTCAACCGCAATAGTACGAAGAGAAATGGAACAGAAATTGAGCAAATCAAAAGTAATTTGGCAGACTGAAACGGTCATTTGACCCCTGCATACAACTGAGCTTAATGCACGTGTTCTGAATCCGATCCGAGGGCGTTCACACGCAACCCATTTGTGGACTTTTTCCTGAACAATGGTCTGCGAGTGTGTACCTGTGGCGCTCGCCGTTATTTACTGATCGGTAAGGGGCCAGAGCTATTGATATGCGTATAATACTATAATGGAGTGCACTTCTTTTCGGCAGTTCTCAATATGAAGCACCTCTCGAGATGTGCCCTCTTCTCTCAATCATTATACGCTCTTCCCGCGCTGAGCTAGCAAAGTTCGCTCAGCTTCAGGCGACCGCCTTCACTCTCAAACGAATATATTTTTTTGATTACGAGCAACTCACAGATTTCGAAATGCCAGTCATTTCTCCTAAATGACAACTCTTCTATCGTTTTAATAAATGCACACATAAAATTTCCCTATAAAATTTCTGGAGGGCTGTCCGAAATAGCGATGTTAGAAGAGCTTATTCTTCAGTAAGAAGGCTGCCTGCGAATAATAATGTAGCCTATAAGGAACCTGGTTAACTACACTTCGTGCATCTACTGTATTCTCAGAAGCAGAACTTAATCCCTCACTCAGCAGCTGCTGATATTTTGAGGGAAAGTAAAAGTGCGTAGCCGCGGCACGTCTCTATCAGAATCATGTTGCCTTTTCAGCACGCCTGAATCATAGTCGAGAAGTGGTGCCTGCTGTGGTTTTGTTCGCTCGCTCCTAGAACGTCGTGCGAAAACAAGAAAACATTTTATACGGTGCGCCCATGCATGTGTTGCACAATTTTCGTGAAAGGAAGCGTGTGAACAATTAGTAATTAGCAACGGCGTGCAACCTTTATTGTATATCTATCGTTTCTATTCATCCCATCTTTCTTTTGACTTTCTTGGAGCACCTTTTCGGGACGGCCATCTGCTCACGCAGTTCATCACTCCTGCCCACCCCGCCGCGTCCTCTTTGTGTGCCTCCCAATGCACTTGCGTGGGCTTCAGATCAGAAATTTACAATGAGCAGCCATGTGTATTCTGATTTCTTTGCTGTATGTAGAAATTTTCTTAAAATATCCGTTTTAAAGGCTCCTAAAACTTTTGCTGTGGAAGCACTGTGGATAACGTTTGGTCCTTTCCAAAGCTGAACAGAAACACTTGTGTGGAAAACTTCTCAGTCCACGTACTATCTGAAGGTTTTAAAACCAATTCCTAAGTGAACCTCGTTCTCACTGCGAACACATGAAGCTTTTTGGCGAGAAAATTGCTAGTTCGAGGGCCAGGACAGTTAGTTCATCTACAATGAACGATCGGCAAACGGAAATTATTTTCCTTCATGCAGAATTTACGGTAATTTACATAATGAGTGCACAAGTTGAGTGTAAAGCAATATCCAGTCATATAGTTAATATGGTTTAGCGCAAAAACACATGATTGTGCCTGTAGCCGTGGTGCATTGCAGCCTAGGTTTTAACATCCCATGTCTGAAATTTAAAATAAAGCTCTCTCTACATTTCATTGTTTAAGATGCTCAAAAGTAACTTTTTTGAGTGTTAGCACGTGCCAACATCAGGCATCCGCTGGCGCCACTTTTGATGGCTTTCTCTTCTGCTAGCTATTTGGGACCAAACTTTCTGATGACTTGGTAGCGTTTTCTAGTAGCAGTTTAGTAGAGAAACGAACGAATGGAATGTTGAGGGATTAGTTGTCTCTGTAGCTGGGTCAGCCCTTCGAATTCTAATGTAAAAACAGTGCTAAATTGCTGTCACGCTGTTTGGAAATATTCGCTACCAGTCCTATTCGTTGTATAATTTCTGTCAGTGTTTTTTGGGTACAAAAAGGGTCTTTAGCATAGATGACGAGGCGTTCTGAATAAAACCAAAAGCATCGCCTGGAATGCCCTCGTCCACCTACTCATTTTTCACTTCAGCTTGATAGTTTTGCTTCTTTCAAAGCGTTTTTTTCATGTGTAGTAAACATTGTGTTCAAGCTTCAGCACGCTGTGATAACTGCGTTAATGGTGCATGCGATCGGCCTGGCTCGTGTCGATGTAAAACTGGCTGGACCGGACCCAGCTGTGATCAGGTTCCATTTTTTTTTTTCACATTGTGCCTATCTCATGCTTGATAAAACATTTTCTGGATGTTCAGCAAAAGGCACCAACAGAGCATTCGTTTCTCTGGAACGTTTGTAATATGCACTCCACTTTTCAGTGTGTGCGCTATCCAGGCTGTAAACATGGCACATGCAGACAGCCAAACCAGTGTATATGTGACGATGGCTGGGGTGGTCATTTCTGCAATGAAGGTTGTTTATATTTTCCTTTTTAATTCACATCCTTCGTCCTCAAGAATGACTAGATCAGTCTTATATGAATAAACAGTAATAGTTAGTTATCGGCCCAGTGAGATCGAAGTAAACATTTTATAGATTTGAATTACTGTACGCGACACAGGCCATGCAAGAATAGCGCGACGTGCAGGAATACAGGACA